CAGCGCAGGAGGGGAAGGCCCTCTATGAGGTGGATTGATTCAGTGACTGGGATAATGGGGATGGGAGTGTCAGAGACAGTGCGAATGGCACAGGACAGAGCAGAGTTTAGGGCTGTTGTACATAGGGTCGCTATGAGTCTCAAGCTACTCGACGGCACATAACAACAACAAACAACAGCTACTAGGTGTTCTTCTTTTATTTCCTTTTGAGTCGTAGCGTCTCAAACACTTCCACCATCATCCCCCTTTTAAATCGTATTCTCTCATACATTTTTGGAAGTGACCACAGATGTACAGCCCCTGGCATGGTTCTGGCCTTAATCATCCTTTGAGAATTTAAAAGGACGATTTAAATCCGTAATTTATTGTGGTCTGGAATAACAGGATAATCCTCTTTCATCCTTTTACCCAATATTTGCATCAAGTGAGTGAGAATAATGATTCATCATAGGAAATAGCCATTCCAGTATTCACCAAGAATGAAAAACGCATCTTGAAGGTTGGTTGCGCGTAGAAATCCATCCTGAGCTACGGAAACCGGGTAGACCTGCTTCAGCAAATAAGATTTCAAAAAGATGAGGGGCGTGGAGGAGGCGGGTCTGGGTGGACCCTCTGGGTGGACCCAGAGAGACAGGACACTCCGGCGCATGCGCAGCCCTGTCGAGTCACTTCCATTTCTAGATGGGGGAGTCAAATAAAAAACAGTGTTTAATTTGGGAATATTTATTATCAGTCAAAACTAAATTGGAATTACTACGTGAATACTATCAAATAGGTATTCTGTGAGTTCAACACTAAGGAAATAGTTGCAATAAATAGCTTAAATAGCTAATACTTCTGATATTTCCCCCTATCCTTGGGAATATTGGTGGTCCATTCCATTCCACATATTTTCGAGCTCCTGTAGCGGGTAGGGGATCGAAGGATTGGGCCAATTGCAGCTGAAACGGATTTGGAACGAAAAAGGGGGTGAGGGAGCATTCCTGAGTTCCGCCTCTCCTTCTCGAGGCGGTAGTGGGAAAGAGGATATACGAAATACTGCCCACGAAAACCAACGGATCAAATCTCTCCGTGCAAATTACCAGAGGACCGTGGGGAAAAGGCAGGAGGGGAGTGGGGAAGGAGAAAGAGCCAGGGAACTGCACGGGTGGGCGCCTGAGCGCGCCCCTTTTTCAGCAGTGTGGCGGGGTCGCACGCACGCCCGCCTCGGCGGCTGGGCGCTGTTTGCGACAGTGGGGGGAGCGGTGGAGGTGGTGGCGGCAGCGGCAGCTTTACGGCCAGCTCTGGCCGGGCTTGCTTGACGGCGGTGTGGCGGAGGCCCCGCCCGAGGCGGCAGGAGCCTGGAGGGAGGCGGAGGAATATGTCTGAGAGGGAAGTGTCGACTGCGCCGGCGGGAACAGACATGCCTGCGGCCAAGAAGCAGAAGTTAAGCAGTGACGAGAACAGCAACCCAGACCTTTCTGGAGACGAAAACGTAAGTTCAGTCTCGAACAGTAACCGACGATGCTCTGGAGTGAAAGTTTGCAATTCTTTTTAAACTGTAGACCTGTTTGGATGGTAACTATGGGGGGGGAGGGAGATGCCCCTATACTCTGGAAAACGCGGGCGTGTAAGAGAAAATCAGACTTGTGTCCGGGGAGCATGTAGAGTTGGGGCCGAATGCAAACAAAAACGTGGCGAAGAATACTTAAATAGTTTCTTACTGTGCAAATGTTGAGGAGGGGGGGTGGACCCATATATCCTGTTGCGTATGATTGAGGGAAAGAAGAGCTTTTAGGCCTTGGGGGGATGTTGGTAGAATGCAAATCTGAGATTCCTCTAAGTGCAAGAGGCATGTTTAAAAGAGTTGGAACGTGGAAGATTGTCTCTTAGGGCCGCCTCGAAAAGATTTTGGGGACAGTGTCAGTCGGAGAGCCCTGTAGGATCTTAAGTTGGAAGCAGACCTTCCACTCTGGGGTTTGCGTTGTAAGGGGGATTTCGTGACTGCTCGTGCGCTGTGTGAGGAGGTGCGGTGCGTTCGATTGTAAACTTTGTGCAGAAAGCACAGCGAGCGCTCCGCCTTCTGAAGTGCGTGCACCGGGGAGTTGGGAACCGACCCTTAGCAGACCCTCCGGCGGCTTTTCTGAATCAGTTAATTGCACAGGAGGAGATTGTCCATCCTCCCGCAGAGCAGCTGCCGGATTCAAACTGTACCTTTGGGTTAGCAGCGCAACTTTTTATACCAAGCCACCTGCAGTGTGAGGGGGAAATGAGTGACAAGGGACTCTGTCGCCTAGAGCATTGTCCTGTCCCTTGGAGAAGCGGGACAGCCTGAAAGATTTCTGGCTGCGCAGCGCTAAATGCAGATATGTTTAAGTATGAGCTCTGCACTTGGCATCAAACTTTGGGTTTTTTAATTTGGAGGTGATCTAACCCCAGCAGTTTGTTAAACTGTGTTTAGGTAACTCGCCGGTGACAAATGAATTGGCGTTAGTGGATGCAGTTAAACTTCGTTGCTGGACGACGCTAGCCCTCCCACCGATTTCCCGGGGCTCTAAATCACAGGGGAAGAGATTCTCCAGGGGGCCGCTGGTGGATTCTATCCCCAGTGAGACGCAGCCTTTAGTTAGCAGCCGCAACTCCCAGCGGATTATGCTATCAGAGTTCCCTGAATTGTTAGGTGGTTTCTGACCTAGCTGAGCAAGCCTGCCCCTTTCATTTTAACCAAATGGTGAAAACGAACTTTATCTCTCGGGAAACAAGGGAAATTACCTAGTTACTTCCCCGCCTCCAACTCTGTGCTAGTTTCTGTTCAGCCTCATAAAGGAATTGGCAAACGCTTGTGTTACACTTATTGTATGGAGTTGACTTCTGGCAGTCCTCCAGAGGATTTCCAAGGCTGTAAATTGTAATGAATGGAGTCTTTAGCCCGTGGAGCTGCAGGTGGATTTGAACTCCTGAAAACTCTGACTTCTGGCTCAACAGCAAAACTCTCTTATAGGCTCCACCACCAGAGCTCCCTAAAGTAGGACTGTGTTCCATATTTGTAATACACTTTAGGCTGGGAGAAAACTACTGCCAAGTTAGGTTAGTAGTAGTTTTTCGTGAAAAAGACAAGCAAATTGGTTTGGTTTTGGTTTTTTTTTTTCCCCAAGGGTGAGGGAAATGAAGGGGAGGTGGTAGGGATGGGATGAGTAATTTTGGGTTTATGAGTAAGAGAACTCCCTTAAAATAAAAATATCTCTTTTTAGTTGCACTTCACAACATAAAGGTTATGAACAAAATAAACTGCAAAGTATTTTTTTAAATTTGTGTGTGTGTGTGTGTGTACACCTTCAAATCGGATCTGACTGGTGGTACAGGAGGAGATTGCCCCTCCTTCTCCAACAGAGTGTCTGGTGGATTTGAACCGTGTACCTCTGGGATTGCAGTGCAGCTTCTTGCCACTAGGCTACCAGAGCTCCCTACAAAGTATTAAGTTTTTTAAAAAAGCTAGATAGAATAAGGTGTATACTTTATTGGAACATTAGTTGACAAGTTGTAACGGACATTCTTTTAGTGATAAGTGTAGACAAGTCTCTGAGGTCATTAACAACTCTAATAGGATATTGTTGTTGTTGCTGTTCTGTGCCATCATCTCATAGCAACCCTTAGTACATACAACAGCCCTAAAACCTGCTCTATCCTTTGCCAATCTTACTGTCTCCAACACACCTATCCCAATTACCCCATGATGGCTGAATCAGTACGTCTCATCCAGGGTCTTCCTCTTCTGTGTTGTCCCTCCACCTTCCCAAGCATGACGTCTCTCTCCAAGGACTGGTCCCTCCTTGCAACATGTCCAAAGTATGTCAGACAAAGCTTCAGAATCCTTGCCTCCAAAGAGCAACCTGGCTTCACCCTCTCCAGGACAAACTTGTTTTTTCTCCTAGCAGTCCATGGTATATTCGGTACTCTTCTCCAGCGCCACTGTTCAAGGGCATCAACTCTCCTATCATCCAAAAAGCATGGGCTGTATAAGGCATACCTTAGTCTCCAGACTGACATTGTTGCTTTTCAGTACTTTGGAGAGGTCTCTGACAGCAGAGTTTCTCAGTGTCATTCCTCTTCTAATTTCCTGGCTGCTGGTACCAAGAGCATAAATTGTTGAGCAAAGCAAACCGAAGCTTTCAACAATCTCAGTCTCTTAAGATACCTAAATTCCATCTATGAGCAAATATACTAATATCAGCATGTGTGTTACCTGGATTCATAATTGCAAAAAGTCTCAATTGCAATTTCGACTTCAGAAAAAATGTGTATCTGGGCAATAGTTTAACTGTTTTGTTCCGTCTAGTGAAGACTGACTCGGAACTGACTCTCCAGCTGGTTTTCAGAGGCAATAAATCACACAGGAGTGATTGCCCATCTTTTACCCACAGAGCTGCTAGCCAGTGCCTTTTGGATGACAGTGCAGTTCCTTAACACTAGGCAGACCACCAAAAAATTTAATAAAAGGGCAGAAGAAGATAGAAGACTGTGGTGGATTGTGTCCTATAATTTGCAGGGAAAGACTTTGATCTAAGATAAAGATAAGATTATCTTTGTTTAAGATAATCAGCAGTTAAAACTTTCAAAAGTTAAAACTTTTAAAGTGATTGTGTATGTTAAAGCTCATTACTAAGACCACAGGGTAATTAGTTTTAAGAAGGCGACTAATGGTGGTTGCTTTTTAGTACATCAGAGATTCAAGTAACCTATGGTTGGTTTGTGGGGTTGCCTTTAATCAGGCCACTAACAAAAACCTATCACAGAGTTAAGGAACATATTAGTATTTTATGTCTGCTTCCTTGACAGATAAAAATGAATATCATGGGAGGGGTGGGGTGGGAAGGGAGAAAATTGCGGCAATGAATGAATGGAAATCCAAAACCTCTGTAAAAAAAAAATTATTTAAAAAAATGAATATCATGTCTGTTGCATAGTATCATTTTGAAAGAGGGCAGGAATAACTTGTACCCATGTTTGACAGCAATTTGAAAGTAAATGGAAAACATTGTGACTGAACTACATATTTGATTATATTTTTATTCACCTTTGGATGAGTTCAGTGAAAAGTAAAAAAATAATAGATCCCCTTTCCTACTTGCCCACATAGTTATGCTTGAAAGAGAAGTCATTATGCAGTATAGCTATTATTTGAGTCAGTAGCCATGTCCTTACTTGGCATCAGTAGTCCTGTTCTGCACCCCAGTCTCACCCATCAGTAACTCCCAGTCTCACCCATCAGTAACTCCCTTCCTTTCAGGAACTCCTGGAACATCTGAGCTCTGCATATCAAGTCAGACTCCTCTTCCTCCCCTGCCTTTCCAAGCACTGTAGAATCCCCAGTGGATTGGGGGTGTTGAGAGTAGTAATACTTGCTCTTCCCTACCCCTCAGCCTTGGGCAGAGACTCCAGTGATCGTCTGTCTTCTCTGGCCCCATTTGCCTCTCTTTAACCTCTAGCATTTTTGAGCTCTCACCTGGCTTGATCATGTTTACACTTCTCTGGGCCCTCCAAGGCCAAATTGAGAGGAACAGGGGAAGATATCCCATGACCAGTATGGCCTGACTAGAGGAAGAATGTCACAGTCCCGCCAAGCCTGATCACTCCTTGAAGAAACCTGATGATGTCTCAGGCGACCAGGCCTGACAACTCTTCACTTATCAGCATGGTTAGGTTCCAGTAGGGCCATTATGAAAAAGAGGGCAGTATGCGAAAACAGAGGATGACCACGTCATTACATAATTGCCAGATCACATCTTTACATCACTAGCAGTGGTAAGAAGCGTCACTACAATCTCAAATCCTGCGGTTCAAATCCACTAGCTAGTGTGCAGAAGGATGGACAGTCTCTTCCTGTGTGATTTACTGCCTCTGAAAACCTACTGGACAGCCAGTTATTGGTCAATTTCTGATTCATTGGCACACAACAACAACCACCACCAAACCACATCATCTATCCAAATTGACAAAGCCTTGTAAATACAGCATATCAAATAATAAGATAGTCAATAAGTGAACAGTAGTGTGTGTGCTGATAATATTTTGTGCTATTTTTAATTGGCAGCTGAATGTTTATATTTAAAGAAACTGGTATAGAAATAGCCTGAAAATATTTTTGTTGTTGTTTTCTTGTGTACCATTGAATTAGATCTGACTGTCACAAGAGTAGATTGCCCCTCCTCCAGCAGAGCATCTGGTGGATTGGAACCACACACCTTCAGGATTGCAGCACAGCTTCTTGCCACTAGGCCACCAGAGCTCCCTCAAGAGTTTTATTTTTTATATAATTTCTGTTGCTTTAATAGGGATCTCTGGTGTCATATCATAAGAAGTTGTGTTGCCAACTCAAAGGCACATGGTTCAAATCTACCAGCTGTCTATAAGACAAAGATAGGCAGTCTTCTTCTGTGTGATTTATAGCTCCTCAAAAGCAGCGGGGTCAACTTTGAGTCAAACTCAAATAGCTCGCATGTAACAACATTAGCCTGATGATGGTTTTTTGAGTCTTTGGTATCCTTTCTTTCTTTTTCTAGATGAGTACAAACCAAGAGTTGTATCTCAGATGGCTGTAAATTTTTAAGGCTGGTAATCATTAAAGAACGATGCATAGTAACATATTTATGAACTGTAGTTTGGATTGAGCATGGCAGAGATCGTGGATAGCACAGGATGGGGGGGTGGCGCACAGTTTCTATTGGTTGTTCATAGGGTCACTGTGAGTGGTAGTTGACTTAGCTGTACCTAACAGCAACTCCCTAGTTTGACAGTTGTCTAAACATTCAGTTAAGATTTTAAGTCCTTTTCTGTGAAGCCCTGGAGTCCTGACAGCACACTGGTTAAAGAGCTTGTCTGTTAATTGGAAGGCTCTAACCCATCAGCCTCTCTAGGAAAGAATGTGTGGCAATCAGCTACTATAAGAGTTACAAACTCGGAAACTCTGTAACTGTTCTATTTTATGCAGTGTTTCAATTTATATAGGCATATATAAGCATAGCATGAGAGAGGAGAGAATTTAATTCAGAACTTCTTTGTAGCTTTATTATCATATTATTATAAAATGTAAAAAATACTTCTGCTTCGGACAATTAATTTTAAAAACAGAAATAATCAGTGGTGTTTAAGATTGAACAAGGCACTGCATTCCGGTGTCTGGCATAGACTAGTGGTTTTTGTTTACTTCATTGTAGTATTACCATTATCATCATCAGGTAGCACCAATCATTCTAAAAATTTGTATTGAAATATGACTCATCTGAAAAATTTTAATGTCACTTTCAGATTGCTTTTTAATTCTTATTTTGAGGTCACACTTTTTTAACAATTTTTGCAAAATTTATTTATTTTTTATTATTCACCAGCTGCCCAAAATAATTTGCCAGTAAGAGTAATACTACTAATTCATATTATCTTTGCTGCTTTATTACAGGATGATGCTGTCAGTATAGAAAGTGGTACAAACACTGAACGCCCTGATACACCTACAAATACAGCAAATGCACCTGGAAGAAAAAGTTGGGGGAAGGGAAAGTGGAAGTCAAAGAAATGCAAATACTCTTTCAAATGTGTGAATAGTCTCAAGGTATGTCCAAAAAGCTTTCAGTGCACAATTGAATGCTAAGCTTCAGAATTATTTCTCATTGGGAAACATTCTATACTTGTGATAGTGTCAAGTTTGAAATATTTTACTTTTTTTTTCCTTGTTGTGTACCATCGAGTCAGATCTGACTGGTATGGGAGGAGATTGCCCCTCCTTTTCCAGCAGAGCATTTGGTGGATTAAGTTTGAAATATTTTAAAGTTAAAATTGTTTGGAAAAATTTTTTTTCTATCTAACTTTTATCACTTTGTGATTGTTTTGAAAAGTTTACATTCTTTTAAACTTGAATATTCAGTATTGGGAAAGTAAGAAGTTGAAGTGATTTAAATCACTTTTGTTCTGTGGTATTTTTATTTTCTTTTATACATAGGATTGGTCATATATATATATATATATTTTTTTTTGTCATATGTATTTACAATGTTTCCGTTTATATGTATCTTCTGTTTTTAAATTGTTTTTTTCAGAGTTTTTAACCTGTATAATCAAAATTAGAACAGATCTGAGTGTATAAATTGAATTACTGGAGTGTTAACCAGAATGGAAAAATTTTTGAGTCAAAACTATGTAATTGGAAACTCAGAAAGGGTGTGAATGTCAAGAACTCTTTCAGAAGCCTGATGCACATTAAATTTTTGTTAGGATTATAGTGAGCAAACAGATTGAAAACAACACAGTTGGCTTTGGTAGTTCATCTCAGAGCTGGGCACCAGGATTAATGACTCTACTGTGAAAATGATTTGGTTGCTATGCAGCAGGCACACTGCCCTTGTTTTCTAAGAGGATTCTGAAGTTTCTAGCAGGACATTGACCTACACATTTTTCCTGTTCAATTGTCATTCTGGTCATCACTGACATGGACCAGCTCAAAGCTGACCCTCTAGCAAGTTTTCAGAAGCCTGTGGTTCACACAGGAGGATATTGCCTATCTTATTCCCTCAGAGCTGCTAGTGATTTCAAACCACCAAAGAGGCACCATATTTGGATTAGCATTAGACCCACAATTTATAGATTCAGGTCTGGTCCAGTTTCACTTCATCAGCCAAACCTAAACCTAGAAAGACAAATTCAAAGTTTCCAAACCATTTCTAAGTATTTAATTGGACTTTTAGATGAGTCTTGAGATAATACAAGAAGTTGTGGCTATGTACATTTTCTTATGTGATGGAATTAAGCGCTCAGTATTTCAGAATATACCTCCTTAAAAGGGTGAGGGGGGAGGCATTGGTGGTTTAGTTTGTAGAATTTTTGCCTTCCAAATAAGACATCTGGGTTCATTTACAGCCACTATTCCTCATACAGCCAAGATCTGTCTGTCAGTGGAGGCTTGAAAGTAAGTGTAATCCAGGTTTCATTGGAGCTTCAGATTAAAATGGACTAGACTAGAAAGAAAGGCCTGGCAATCCTTCCAAAAGTTTATCAACTTATAAAACCCCTATGGATTACATATTTACAGAGGTCTGATCCACAGTTGATGATGCTGCTGGTGCAGAATCAGGCAGCATCCTTCTATTTGTGTGTGGTAGTTTCGTATAGGGGCTCCTGATAGTTGCTAAAAATAAATATAATCTCAGTATATTAAATTACTTACATAATTCAAAAGTCTAAAGAGATAAAGATATTTTAGGTTCTCAAAAATGGAAGTTGTTTCCATTTAAAGTGAAAACAGTGCCTAAAGTACACATAAAAGTAACTGTTAATGGCAGGAGATTGCTAGTAAAGTCCTAAGTGTAACTTTGTGAACTAAAGTGGCTCTTATACACCTCTTTATAGTTTGAGCTCAAGTGTATCAATGATTTTGACTATAGTACAGAACTAGACAATTTCTTTTTGTCTGTTCTCAGGATTTCTGAGTCAAACTGACTCATAGTGCCTAACAACAATACAATCTTTTAGTCCAAGTATTTCTCACTTTTTGAAAGTTTGCTTTATACTCACTCTGTTTTTCCAAAGCAGATTTTCACTTTTACAGAGAGTAAAAAGTAAAACAAGGGTCCAGCATTTCTTTTGTGGCAAACTATTTAAGTCAGCGTGCTTCCTCCATGGCACTCAGCATCAACCTGCCAGAGTTTTTAATTTGGTCTATGAACATTATATTGTTAGGTTTAAGTGTTACTTGGTATGATTTGATAGACATTCTGGGCTCTTGGAATGCTAAAAGAAATTATGAAACTTGAGATATTTTTCTTTTTTTTTCTTCTATATTTTATTAATTTTCATAAACATTTACAGAGATTTTGGGTTTCCATTCATTTTTTGTTGCACTATTCTCTCTACCCTCCTCCCAGTTTGTTCTTGTCCAAATGCCACAGTGCTTGTCAAAGCCAGTTCTGATTAATCTT